GCAAGAAAATAACTTCAATTCAGTTATGCTTTGTTGCTGGTTAATTAATCTTGTGAATATCTTTGCCAACTTGGTAATGTTTTTCTTGGCTGCCGATAAAAGAAAATGTCTATCTTGGCCTCTCAAAGAAAAATTCCTAGTTTCATCGTAGTATTTAGGTGTCTGTGCATGTACATAAGCATGAAGCAAGGTGGTCGATTACCACATCTAATAAGATCTTTGGCTCCTACTTCAGGAGTACTATACTTGACCTAGATTCAATGCCAACCCTAGGCCTAGGCCACTTAGGTGGCCGCCTAGGGCCCTCATTTTACAAATTTTTGGGGCCCCAAAACTCTATTCAACCCAATGCTCATATGTCTAAGTTAGATGAGTTGGACCTAGACAAAAAAGCCAATCATAGAAATAATTGTTGTGACCAAATAAACAAGCCAACTGAATTAAGCCGACCTCAAACACTTTTATAGTTTATATTGAGTGGGCCTCCGTTGTTTGTCTTAAAGGTATTTGGTATACAATGAAATCTAAATGCTAAGCATCAACAACACGTTAATGTTACAAGGCCCTCTCCTCCTTGCCGGTCTCTCTCTCTATCTCTCTCTCATATCTTATCTTAGAATTAAACAAAAAGTTCTAAGGATAGGCCCTAAGATTTGTAACTCTTAAATGTTGTCAAATCAATGATGTACATCAATTCAAAAAAATAAAAATTAATCACACTAGTAACCATTCCTTCTATTTCCATCGATCAGAATGCAAACATAGTAGTGTTTGTACATCTAATTCTCCCTAACACATATGCTTAGCTCAAAATCTATAGTATTTGCAATGCAAAACCAAATGAATGAACAATAGGCATTGGTAAACCAAAGGATCCACCACACATTAAGGGTTTGGTATCACCAAATATTACTTGATAATATTAGACATCGTCATCTCCTCCTAATTTCTATAAGTTCCAATCATTAGGGCAACAATATCGTCTTCAATAAAATTGATATTTGTACTTGATACCTATGCACATATAGAACCTAATTCAAAGCACAAAGAAATGTTAAGCTAAATCTTGCATCCTTCCATCTGGGGAATCGTCTTGACATAACTAAACAAAGTCTTTTTTGCACTTGTTCCTAGATGTGAACATGTTCCCATTTATATCCTATATAGGAGGTAACGAAAAATTCTTAGATCAAATCTTAATCTTAAAAGACAAAAGCGCATTATTAATAGAAGCTATTAACATGCCCAAGCAACATTGTAGCTCGAGGCGCCATCTTATTGTTACTGAAGTTCTTGTATAAAATCTTCTATCAAGCTAGAACAACGATTCAAAATTTGCATAATTCATAGAATCAAAAACAAGCTAGCTAAGAAAAACTTCGACAAAGTAACACATGTTTTGCCTCAGTGATCAACATGTTATCCAGCTAAAATTATCTTCCATTGAAGGATGAAAAAAATTCATTTGGAGAGTCCATTCAGCTCGTTGAAGGAAGTCTTCCATGATGATTTGTCTTCTATGATGGATTTACTTGTAGACATGATTACTCAGATACGTTACTTTTCAGTTTTTAAATTTTTTATCTATACTATTGATCACGATATATAAAGCTTACTTTATAGGTTATGTGAACAACATCAATTTTCAATATTTTCTAGGAGAAATGAGAAAACCAGACCCCCCCCCCCTACAAAAAAAAAAGGAAAAGTAAGAAAGATCATATGAATACTAAACTCATAATACCTCCATCACTTACATAGGCTATAATTTCACCATCTACCTTTTTGTGGGGTTTTTTTTTAACCAAGGCTTTTTGGGTTGAAAAGAAGGGAAATTAATTTCCTTCAATTCCGTATTTTTCCATCTCTTTCTTCATATCTGGTTGTGTGAACCAAAAAGTTAAAATTCTACCAGCATTTTTTCTACCTTATGAATAAACAACATAAAATATATCACCAAAATCTAATCAAGTAGCCATGGATTAACTTCTATTTCAAGCTAAAATTTAACTGATCCAAATCTATGGTATACTCATAAAGTTGATGAAGAAAAAAAATATCTAGGTTTTCCATTCATGAGAATCTACTAGTCTTAAATTTCCATGTATCAAAAGCCTCAAAGAAATCACAGAATTAAATTAGAAAGACAACACAAGTATTTGTTAAAGTACTACTTCACAAAGTGAAGTAATATAAGGAAAACCAAACTCCAACCACTACATGCAGAAGATCTGTGACGCCCCAAAATCCGGGGGTCCTTTTTTAACCTATTGATCAACCATCAACCTATGAAAATACCCGTGAGTACTGTATAACCCAATACCACGTCGTTACACCCCATTCACCAGGATCATAACCAAAACAGAATTTGAGCAGAGTTTCTTTTGTACAAGAGCTTTACCCAATACGTAACATGTGCATACAATAATCATACAACCATTTCAAGGTCCATATCCCAAAGTATAGGCTTAATATTCGACCAATTACATTATCCAAAGGAAAAAGCTCAAGAAGTGATGGCTTAACCATGTTATAGTTCAAATTTCAATTTTTGGGAAGAGGTACTAGTACCTGTGATAAGTGGTACCGGTACCTGAACCCTTTGATTGCCAAGTACCGATACTTGTAAGACGTGGTGCCAGTACCTAGGCCCCTGATAGCAAGGTACCTGTACTTGTGAGCCTAAATACCAATACCTAACCCCATTGTCAGTGGGGTACCAGTACCTATGAGCCTAGGTACCAATACCTGAGCTCTTTGGATGCTAGGTACCTATGAGGTACTGGTACCTGGAGCCCAGATTTCTCCCAAACTCCAAAAAATTCAACTTTTAACTCAATAACTCATACAACACCCATTCCATTCATTTGTTTTACAAAAAAATAATATCTCATTACATGCTTTTGTCAATAGTACAAGTTTTGTTCAAAATTTATACCATCTAAAACATAATATACAAGAAATTATAACATGTAATTTAAGAGCCACAACTTGGCTCTTTCTTCAACATGGTCTCAAGTGAGGGCCGTTCACTGAAGCTTGTCCAACTCCTGAAATATATATCCCCATAAAGGGTGAGTGACGCTCAATACGGTATTTCCTAATAAGGCTATTTCCCAACCTAGATGCATATGAAATGTCACATGTAAGTCATGACATCAGGCATTTATTCAATTACATACTTTTCATAAATGAATGTTATAATTTGATGTCATGTTATGACATAAAACTCACACATGCAATGCAAACCCTAGCTATCCACTAGCTCCCCTAACACATGTCATGTCATGCTTATGCATTCGGATATTTCAAGCCTCGTCATTGATGTTAGATATCCAATGACCATTTTATAAAAACCTTGTGTCTTTCTTGGGGTAGGTGTTTATGGAATTCTAGCAATAGTCACCTAATTGACACGGGATCTATGGACTTCCATCAACAGTTTCGCATACATCGACACAGTTTATGGATTCAATACCAATGGGAGTGCGTATTCGAAATTACAGGGTCTTGCACCCGAGGAAGAATTTAGCTCTTCTTGTTAACCCCAACACTTGTTTTTAATGCAACCCTTGCGACTCAGTTAAACCTAGGTCCAACTTTCTTGAGCCCATGTATCAACCTTCCAAAGATGGTGTTTGATTAAAAACATGCATACACACCCACACTTATGTCGAATGCCCACGAATGAAATGCTACCCGTGCATATGCAAATGTAATGTATAACTACATTTCATATCACTATGCAATCAAATTATACAAGATGTCATATTAACCCAATTAACATACTTGCATTCATAAGCATTTTGTCAAACACTTAATAGACAAAATTATGTAAACACATAGCATGCCCAAAACATTATATTCTCTATGAATTTCAAAACTAAGTAATTTCATCAAAACCAAATCATACAAGAATTGGTCTTAACATATTCTTATACCCATTTTCCATATTCTAAAAATCCTAGGTATGTGTTATACATGAGAATTCATCTCTAACACCCTACCCATTTCATATTTCAACCCTAGGTTGAAAATAAACCTAGCTAAAAAAGGAACCCTAACTCTTGTAGTGCATATCCGCTTAGAAGAAGCTCCAAAAGCCCAAAATCAAGCTTCCCAAGTTTTATCCCAAAATTTCTGCCTTTGAGATTTTGGCGAAAACCACGATCATTGATATGGATTTGTAACTCTCGTCATGCAGAACGACTTTAATTCTTGGCCTAAAGCAATCTGATGGTTGGATCGTCATGGATCGAAGGAAGAAAATGGAGAAGTTGGAGCTCTCTCTCTCTCTCTCTCAATTTTTGGAAATATCTGAGAAATGGGGGAAGAAATCTATTTTTCTTCCCTTTTTTATACCCCTCAAACACTTGGCCCTTGTTGCGCCAGGCATCCTTATTTTGATAGGTTCAACTTTATCCCAAATCAATTAAATCTAATCCCGTGCTAAGTTTAGTGTATTTTTATTGAAAAAACTTTAAATTATTTCTCGGCGTTCGCAAATAAAATAGAGTCACATTTATTTTAATCGCGCGACACCTGATCGCTTTATAAAATATAAAAAATTCAATTGTCTCAGAATTCAACAAAAATTGACTTGGTAGCTAGATTTTGCGATATGTATTCAATGGTGAGGTCTATTTTGGCATCCGAGTTCTAGAAAAAGTTTGGTTTTCAATCCGCATTGTAACGACTAATTACCATTTTACCCCTTTTAATAAAATTTTATTTTTCCTAGGTTTTACAAGATCAAAACAGCCTAAAGGCCCAAAAAATAATCAAGTCTATCAATTTAATATTGAAATTTCAAGATTAGACTAAAGACTATTGAATTTACCTTGTCAATGTGACCAACACTTTTGCCACCTTAACGAGTTATACAGTCCAGCACCCATCCCCCTGGTAATTCATATGTTTTGCTGAGACCATCTTCTATGTTTTGTTCTTAGTTGCTTTTAAGTTTGGGTGTACCCTTTGGTGGTCGGCCACAACACTTTCTAGGGTTGAATTGTTGATCTAGAGCTTCTAGTTCTGCATGTGAGGCTGTGGAGACTTTGTGATGCTGCTTTTAATGGGTTTGAGTCCTCAACCATTAGAAGAATCTCAGTAGCATTGTAATCCTCATTTGAAATTGGATCCAAAGGATGAGCTTTATGATCTTTTGGGCCAGACTCCATGACTTTCGATGTAAGGTTCATTTCGGGCGGCGACAGACTTTCTTCAACGCCATGCACATGGTTGGGAAACTCAGGCTCAAAAACTAGAGTTTATGAGAGGTCATTTTGAAGGCAATTTTTTGAAAATAACTTCAATTAGTGGTATTATGTTGTATGATGTGTCATCAAACTAGAGCTTTTAATTTGAAAATTTAGAGAAACTATTTCTTGTTCTTGACTTACATAATACTAACAAATTAATTTATTAAATAATTATTAGCTATTCAATATTCCCTAAAATTTAACTCCTGTTTCAAGCTAATATTTAACTGATCCTGATCTATGGTCTACTTATAAAGTTGATAAAGAAAAAAACATCTAGGTTTTCCATTCATAGGAATCGACTAATCTAAAATTTCCATGGACCCAAAACCTTACAAAAACCAGAGAATTAAATTAGAAAGATAACACATGTATTTGTTAAATTATTACTTCACAAAATGAAATAAAACAAGGAAAAGTAAACCCCAACCACTGCATGCAGGAGATAAGAACAGTCTAAAGACCCAAAAAACAACCAAATCTAGTAATTTGAGATTGAGATTTCAGAATCAAACTAAAGACAATTGAATTTACCTTGTGAACATTGCCATCACTTTTTTCCATTTGGACGAGTTCTACAGTCCATCACCCATCCTTCTGGTAATTGATATTGTGTGCTAGGACCATTTTCTCTGTCCCGTTCTTTGTTGCTTTCAGGTTTGAGTGTACCCTTTGGTGATCGACCACATCGCTATCTAGGGTTTTAACCTAGAGCTTCTGGTTCTACATGCACTTCATCTTGTTTTGAGGCTGGCCTCAGATCTTCATCTGTGAGGCTATGGAGACTTTGCGACGTTGCTTCTAATAGGTTTGAGACCTCAAGCATCAGTAGAATCTCAGCAGCATTGTAATCCTCATTTGAAGTTGGATCCAAAGATTGCGCTTGATGATATTCTTGGCCAGACTCCATGGCTTCCGATATAAGGCGGACGGCGACAGACTTTATCCAGCGTCATGCACATGGTTGAGAAGCTCTGGCTCAACAACTAGAGTTTATGAGAGGTCATTTTAAAGGCAATTTTAGATAATAACTTCAATTAGTGGTATTATGTTGTATGATGTTTCATCAAACTGGAGTTTTTAATTTGACAATTTAGAGAAACTATTTCTTGTTCTTGACTTGCTTAATATTAACAAATGAATATACTAAATAATTATTAGTTGTTCAAATTAATATTAATTGCTTTTCAGAGTTTTTTGATTTTTTTGGACACCCACTTAACTTTGTTGATATTTTCATAAGCACAAAACTTTAATTTGTACAAAACGGAGGGAAGATTGTGCAAGACTATAAGGCTGCATTATTCAGGTATCTTTCTAAATTAGAATAATCTTCCAATTTGAAGAACAATGTAGGTACCTCGTTGAAAAAAAAAAAATTACTGGCATCAGGGCTATAACTAAATGACTACAAAAAAGTGGAACCTGAGAATTCAATTCATTACATGTAGAAGATTAGGCACCGCAGAAACCTAGAACAATTACCATATCTGGTGATTTGGGATCGTAATTTCATGAAATGGCTAAAGATAGAATTACCTAGCTGACATGACTCGTAGCTCTTCCGCTTTGTTGAGATCTAGTGCCCTACAGATCAAAAAAGCAATTAATAGAGAACATCATGAAAATTTCCATCAATTGTGAACATCCTAAGACCAGGACACCATAAGTGGAATAGAGAACAAAATGAAAAAGAAAATAAAACGCAGAGGACAATTGGATTCTCCACATTTGCCTTCTACTAAGTTTTTGCTAGTGCATAACCTACTAGCAAATTAAATCTATATAGGGATACTAAGGTTAACTTAATTCAACTCTTTTGCATTTAAACATTTATTACCAGATTACACACCAGATTTCATGATTTTTTCATGGATTTTCCTCATAAACCCGTAGATTACGCATCAAATTTGATGAATCTTTCATGGATTTTCATCATAAACCCATAGATTATGCATCATATTTGATGAATCTTTCATTCATTTTCATCATAACCCTGTAGATTACACATACGATTTGCTGACTCCTTCATGGATTTTTCTCATAATCTTGTATTTTTTAATATTTGTGCCGAGATTTCTTTTTATACATAATTAGAATAGTGCTTCCTTATTTAATGTGCACAAGTATTTGACAAAGTTGTAGATAGATCCTACTAAATGATGTAGTCGTGTGGCATGTAGCATGCAACAACCTTTTTGTCTAAGGGCATATCCAATGTTGACCCAAACTTAAACTCAAATTTGAGTAAAAAACTTGATTTAGCATAGACTTCTCCAATGGACAAACTCAAATTTAAAGTAGAGCAAACTCAAATTTAAAGGAATGTGAAATATGACAATTGGATCTTTTAAAAAAGTGAAATCTAATCATTAAAGATTTGAGTAAATATTTGAGTCTATATTAATTTGAGTAAAAAGTTGAGTATCTCTTCATTTCATATATGTTTGAGTCAAAAACTGAAGCTTATTTTTAGTTTGTTTTTACTAAAATTTAAATTTGAGTACGGGTTTGAGTAAGGAGTGGAGATGACCTAACAACTAGTTTCTTTCTGCTCCAATGGCTTATTTCTCTTAATTTCTCAAAAATTGGCTAGTTTCTAGTTATTATTTCCCAACAATTGGTTTCCATCTAACATTTTTACTTCGCTCATAAATGTGTCTTTTTTAATATCTTTGTTGAGATTCTTTTACAAATGCTTTCAAAAAATTACCTTTGTAGTGCTTCTTTAGTTAACCAAGTTTTCCTAGTGCATAACTCACTAGCAAATCAAGTTTATATATAGGGATAATGAGGTTAACTTAATTCAATACTTTTGTATCTAATCATTTATTGATAGATTACGCATTAGATTTGTCAAATCTTTCATGAATTTTCCTTATAAACTTGCCTTTTTGAATATCTCTATCGAGACTTCTTTAATAAATACTTTGAAAAAATTACTTTTATAGCACTTCCTTATTCAATGTGCACTAGTATTTGACAAAGTTGTAGATAGGTCCTACTAATTGATGTAGTTGTGTGGCATGTAGTGTGCAACAACCTTTTTATCTAACAACTATTTTCTTTCTACTCCAATGGCATGTTTCTCCTTATTTCTTAATAACGGCTTGTTTCTAGCTATTATTTACTGACAATTGGTTGCCAACTAATACTTTAACTTTGCTCATAAACGCTCCTTTTTTAATATCTCTGCTAAAATTTCTTTTATAAATGCTTTCAAAAAATTACATTCCTAGCAATTCCTTTGTTAACCAAGTTTTTACTAGTGCTAACTCACGAGCAAATTAGGTTTATATAGGGATGGTGAGGTTAACTTAAGTCAATATTTTTGTATCTAAACATTTATTGTTAGATTACGCATCAAATTTGTTGAATCTTTCATGGATTTTCCTTAAAAGCTCGCCTTTTTTAATATGTTTGTGAAGATTTTTTTGTATAAATACTTTGAAAAAATTACCTTCATAGTGCTTCCTTATTTAATGTACACTACTATTGAAGAGCTCTATTTCAAAGCAAAGAATAAGTTGAGCATTTCTCCATGCACAAGTTATTTTCGTCTTATTGAATTGGCCAACTCCTCATCTCCTAGGGTAGCCATAATGTCTTGTTGATGGGAGATCTGCCATGTGACCATGTCACAGTTCAAGCAAATCAAAAATCTCAGAAAGAGAAAGGTAAAGGTATATAAACTTGTCCGATTTGAGACTTACTGGTGGTGTTGGTGGTCGGTTTGTAAAGATTGGGTTAAGTTTGTGTGAAAGTATAGAGAGAGAAAGGGAACGGTATAAAGAAAGAAGGGTTTGAGGTAAAAGAAGAGTATTGAAATAAAATTAAGTGACCAAATGACGACATTTTGATATTTTTATAAATTTTAGAAAGTCCATTTATATTTGCACTTTGTTTTTAAGTGGGGACTTAGTACATCAATTAAATTTATTAGGTGGTTACGTGTAAATGAGTTTTTTTACATTTAACCAAACATAATAATTTAATTATTTTAGTAAAACTCGTGTTCGTGTACGTAGATAACCTTGACAAAAAAATCATTTTATAATAAAACACAACATTTTCGTTATTCCAGTAAATATTTATTCCAAGTTGCTAATGTTTATCTTGGTCATCTCTCCAAAAAATTCCTAATTGGGGGAGAGGGGATGCAGGTGAGTCCAAACAAGATTAGGAACTACATAGGCATGAAGCAAGGTGTCAATTAAAATGTTTGGCTGCTACATCAGGAGTGGTATCCTTGACCTAGCTTAGTTCTAATTTGCATTACAATCATAGGAGAACCAATCTATATATGTAGACCTACCAATAGTAAGAAATATATGAATGTCTTATCTACATTACAAGGCAAAGCTCTAACATACCTCATTTCTTCATGTGTCTTTGAAGACATGTATTTGTAGACCTCTACTCTCGATTGAATGATATATCCAGAGCTCTCTTCGATATAGTACTGCATAGAAAATGATATACAATAGTAAAGTCTCAAAATTCCATCAGAATACCAACATAGTAAGGTGTGTAATTGTAACACATGGCTTTTGTTTCTTCTGGGTTATTTGAAAGAAAAAAAAATCAAATTGGTATGTTACAAGAGAAATCAGAAAGAAACGATATCCAAAAGAGAAAAAAAATGAGAAAGATTAGATAAGACTAGAATTTATAATATCTCCATTGTGGACAAAGGCTGATTTCACCATATAAAATTTACAGAAACTTGAATTCACCAAATAAATTTTTTGTTTCTTTCTTTCTATATGGTTCCGTGCCCCAGAAACTTGAATTCTAAGAGATGATTTTTTCATCGTATGAAGAACTACATAGATCACATCAATAAAATCTAGATCAAGTGGCCGTGAAACATCTAACTAGTCCTGATATGGGGTCTACTCATAGAGTTGATGAAGAAGAAAAAATGCATCTAGGGTTTCCATTGGAGGGAGATGACTGATCTAAATTTTTTCTAGATCAAAAGCCTCACACAAATCACAAAAATAGCACAGATACTCAATCCAGTAGATCACTTCAAAAAAATGAAGTAAAAGTATGAAAAATGAACCCTAACCACTGCATGCAAAAGATAAGAACAGTCTAAAGACCCAAAAAAAAAAATCAAATGTAGTAATTTGAGATTGAAAAAAAAACGATGGAATTTACCTTGTCAACTTGACCAACTCTTTTGCCACCTTGACGAGTCTACAGTGCATCGCCCATTCTTCTGGTAAATCGGGTTGTGTGCTAGAGCCTAGAACAATCTTCTTTATCCTGCTCTTGGTTGCTTTTAGTTTTGGAGATACCCTTTGGTGATTGACCACATCGCTTTCTAGGGTTCTAATCTGGAACTTCTGGTTCTGCCATGCTCTCCATCTTCTATCCTCAGAGCTTCATCTGCTTCTAATGAGCTCAAATCGTCCAACATCAAAATAATCTCAGAAACATTGTAATTCGTATTAGAAATTGTATCCAATGGCTAAGCTTGATGATATTCTAGCATGGCTTCCAGTATATGGTTCATTTTCAGCGCAGGTAGTGTAAAACTCGGGAAAAAAAAATTTTAAAACTTTTTTTCCAACAAAGAGCAAAATGATAATTTGTCACTATAATATGGAATTGAAATACGCATTCTCTAGAGCTCGTATGACACAATGGACTTCACCGTTGGATTCGTATCGCAAAAATTAGTCACCCTATTGAATTTCGTCGAATTCCGAGATAGTCAAATTTTTGCACGGGATTCGAGGCGGCTGGGGTGGCAAATGACCTTTTAAAGGTCCCCAAAAATGAGTTTTATAAAATTTCCTTAAAATTGGATAAAAGTTCAAATAAAATTAATTTAAACTTAAATCGGAATATAATGAATCGTTTCGAGACGAAAAACGGACCCGAAAATAGGAAATATAA